TTCCTGCCTTCCTGCCTTCCTGCCTTCCTGCCTTCCTGCCTTCCTGCTTCCTTGCTTCCTTCCTTCCTTCCTTCCTCCCTCCCTCCCTCCCTGCCTTCCTTCCTTCCTTCCTTCCTTTCGTCCCTATAGATCCATTGCTAGAACGAGACTGAACATGCACTTCCGCCCTGCCTTGCGAGTGGTTGCTCGCGCCTGGCCCACGTGGCCACAATGAAGGGCCAACTATTCCAGGACTCCCATCATCCCCGGTCAGCTGATCAAAAATGATCAAGTTTGACATTGTTCCTATATCCCGCTTTTTTGCTGAAAAAATGACCCACAGTTACGCAGAAACGGTAGCGGAGAAAAAGAAAGGGTTGTAAGTTTGTAGCCATGCATGGCTAGGGCCGAAAAAAAGGGTCGGGTGCCAACCTTCGGAAGCCAACCTTCGGAAGCCATCCAAGCTAGGGGTCTTCATGGACCAAGCGGTCGTTGGGACCCGCTGTTGCGCTGTTGGTGTCCAGGCATTGAATCTGAAGTTCACCGTCTTAACCATGGCCTTCTTGGATCGATCCAAGAAGGCTGGGGGGTTTACTCGGTTGTATTCCATACTTTACGGCAGGTGCTGAACCCACAATGGATTCCTCGCCAAGCTCTAAAAGGCCCAGCCGCATCTACGCTTGCCCTGCAGTCAGGCCCTTGCCTTGGCCTGTTGGGAGGAACCTCAGCTAACAGCAAGGGTCGCAGGGTTCCAATCCCAACACACCAAGATCCTTATAGCTACCATGTCCAGTACAACCCCACTTACGGTCAATTGGAGTTCCCTCCACAAAAAAACTGAAGACTGAACGGTCTTCCTGTCCAGGGAAGTTCGGCGGCGGATTGGCTGCTGTGTTTCTTTGGGGTCACGCTGATCGTGGATCCAGCATCTGGCGGCAAATGCCGTCCCAACTCTCAGGGTCCGAGTGCAACCGTTGACGGATTCATCGATGGAGCTCCCCCTTTGTGCCACCCATTTGTATTGATGTGTGGCCAATAAGCATCACTTAAAAGCATCTTAAAGCTCAATCAATCAAATCAAAATGCTTGTAAAAGCATCTTAAAGCTCAATCAATCAAATCAAAATGCTTGTCATTGACGGACCCAGTCTATATTGATGTCTCTTGGTGCTACCCAGCCCAGGCAGTTGTCCAAGAGCCCAGAACGGCGCCACCCAGCCAAGGGGCCGAGGGCAGTGGCCGCCGCCGTGCCAGAGCCCGAGATAGGGCCTGAGAACTGGCAACTTTGTAGTACAAATATAGCATGGAAGCCAATGGGCTGGTTACAGGCCTGTAAAGAATCCTGGGATCTGTAAAGAATCCGGGCCCCCCTCACCAACACATAGGGTTTGGGAACCGGGTCCGGACCCCTGTGTTTCGGTGGAGAAGGTCCGACCCCTGCCATGGAGAGCCCAAGGATTCTTTATATAGGGTAGTACAAGTGTAGTACAGGAAGCCATGAAAGTCGAGTCTATATACTTCTCCCACTAGCACAAGAATTTGAAGGAGGACCACTGGATGTGAAGGTGTGGACCGGCTTTGGGGGGTCATTATACTCCCTAGGGATCCAAGTACCTTCTCAGAAGGTAAACCTACATAACAGTGTCTCCAATCACCTTCTGAGAAGGTATGTGGATCCCTAGGGGCTCAATGTTCAGTACTCTCATCATCTCGTGGACACCGCCAATCATCCCGCTCCCCAGCGACACGCCGCATATACATCTCTCATCGCCGTATGGGAGCGAAAATCTCCAAGGTCTGGGTGACTCAGATCTGACTTCAGGACCACTTCTGGAAGACTCAGATTTGCTGAAGCTGGGCCGAAAGATCTTCCCCCCCTCTTCGCCAAGGGGAGCTTCTTTTCACCCCGCCAAAAGAAGGAACCATGATCGAAGCATCACCCGAGCTCTTTTCGGATTCGTCTCCATGCTCAGCAAAACCCTCAGCCTTCCGAGCTTCCCAGGCTGGGTCTCAAGGAACCCTTGGGAGCAAACGCCTTCAACTCCGCGACCTGCGCGACCACCCCGCCGACCGGCGCCGCGGCGGCGAATGGGCCCGGGCCGCAGCGCTGAAAGCGCGGAGACGGTTGGAATGGCAGGCGGTTTTTCCCGCCTTTCGATCTCTGCTTCTACAAACGGGATGGCTGCATATGGCTGCCAATCCCCCCCCCCAAGAACGACGCGTTGGGGAGGGAGGGATGGATGGTCCTGTAGGTAGTGTCTGGGAAACAGCTGATGTTGACCAAAGAAAACACGTGGAACGACTGACCAGATCTGGTCGGCATCTGTGGTATGAAACATGTATGAACCCCCTTTGGTATGAACCCATTCGGTATGGTCAGAGTACCATCTTCAGCATCTCCAGAAGACACCTTCCCGCCATCACCAAAGACACTGGACTCGCCCAGGTCGCCCGCGCCACGGCGATGACGTCTCCAGGTCGCCGCAAACGGCTGGCCATCCACTCCCACCTCTTTGGGTCGAGCGTGGGGAAGACGGCGTTGGTTGGGGTGGAAGACGGCACGTCAGGCACGTCAGGTGCAAAAAGACGAACAGGACTTGAAGGAGGGTTTGGGGAAGGTGTTTTTTCTTCAGGTGGAGCTTATAGATGTTTCGGGACTTGTAGAAGGACTTGCAGGCTTTTGGGGATGTGTTTCAGGATTCTAACGCCTGCAAAGCCTGCAAAGAATCCGGTGACTATTCAATAGAGTCAATAGAGGAAGACAATCCTAGCTCTGTCTGACGCGGGCAAATGCTTTAAGCTTTAAAGCAGAGACCACTGTGTGTGGAACTGTTTGGGACTGAGTTTACATTCTGAGACTGCAACAAAGCACACTTGGTACCCAAGGTTCCGGTGGCGGGGTCAGGTAGATAGGTAACGTGCGTAAATCCAGGTAATTAGATCCACCTTTCACTGCAGGCCCACGTGGATCAGTCCTACATTTACCACTTCTGGTAACAGGGAGACACCATAGTCTAGGCATGTCTAGGCTGCTTCCCAAGGCCTACCGGAAACCTCCAATTGACCGTTTGCTACACAAATGGTGTTTCTTCGTTGGAAATGGAAATGCTCCAACAGACCATCCTGGGATTTGTTCTAGAAGGGGTTTGCCATGGTTTGCCAAGATGCAAATCAAATGAGACACCTTAAGCAAAAGGCCCAACAACCCAAAGAACCCCGACTCCCAGCAGGATGCCCACGGATGGCCTCAGGAGGAGGGCCCGTCCTGGCCGAGTTGAGTCCGTCAGGTTTCAAACACTTCAAACCCACCCCAAACACCTTCGAAACGGGACTTTTTGGAAGCCGGTGAACACGGGAAGAGCTGGACAGCGGAGACATGTCTTCTGGTAGAAAGCTCTTGTAGCTTAGATGTTTCAGGGCATGTTCACCTCTCTTGGCCCAGATTATCCGACATGTCGATTCGCCAAAGGGAGGTCCCTGACCCACGACTTGACCACTTGTGTGTTTTTGTTCTGCCTGGGCAGATCGCTATATCCAAGAGTCAGAAAAGGTAAAAACCGGTCAGTCCGTGAGGAACATGTTTCAGGAAGAGCGAGAGGAATAGGAACATTAAGACGTAAGGCAGGAAGAGGAGAACCTTTCACACAACCCTCCAGTGCCAAGCCGGAAGAAGTGGTGTTTTCTCGGCCCAGGGTCGACCTTGCAACACATGGAGGTTCGGAACTCCAATGCGTATTGCACATGTAATAGGCTCTTTCTATATGCGATCTTTGTTGCAGGATACTGCTTACTGTCAGGCCGCCAGCACAACGACGTGTGTTCAACACGCTTCATACACCATCCGCTGTCATAAGGAAAGCTTCATCAATGATTCATCAACCAACAATTGTCTGAGTCTTCGAGTGACGAAGACTCAGATCGTCGGATCCTTGAAGCCAGGAACGTTGCTCTCCACAAGGCCACATGGGGGGGGTTCATCACGATGTTCACGAGGTGTTTCATGTCCACCCACTTGGTCTTGGGAGAACCCGGAGGATTTCCAGCAAAAGAACAGCTGCAGTTCCGCGCCAGAACCCGGTAGGGCAAGCGGTTCCGTGCTCCCGGCCTTCCTCACCTCTCCCTGCCAATGAAAGGTGATACAAGAGCCTCAGTGCGACAGGACACCAGCCACGCACCACTCGTGTAGTGCACATCCCAACGGGGGCCGTCAGTCGAACTACCCCGCGCTTTTCGTCTGGTCTTTTTGCACGGTTGGCCAGCCGAGTCTGTAAAGCGTAGCAGCTAATTGCTTGAGTGTCAAAGCAAGAAGAATACAGTAGATGGGATTTCCCACATGATTCACCCGAACCCGCATCCCTCCCTAGCTAGTCCGCACATCGTGCCTCTGGAAGAAGTAACCATCATCTGGACCAGTCCACCAGTTCCTTGGAGCCTCCGCAGGCCGCCAAGGCGGACTTGTGCAGTAAATTCCAGGCTGTCTGCTTTTTGTGTTTCACCAATACGGAGAAATGGCTGGTGATTTGGCATGCCATCCGTTTCTTTGCCAAAGACCGCTCGCAAAAGGGAAACCATGGTGGTTGGGATTCCACCAAACTGGGCACTGATACCACTGGATTTATTTGAAGGTCTCTAGCACTTGGTAAAGGTACGACAACAAGCAACATTGCTGGATTTGTGCCTGTTGTTTGACTTGGGTGGAGGGCTAAGGTACCTCCACAACGAGAACCCCAGATGCAGGTTTTGCCTGCAGCACATCTACTGATTGTTCAATTGTGCATAAACAGTCGAAACAAGGCACTATAGGGCAAGTTTAGCCAGCGGCCGAACGCTGTGCAGATTTCTAAACCATTGCCATCTTTGTTGCAATGGGAAATGTTAATTTCCTTTCTTAGTCGCAACCCACCTCCCTTGGCCGCAGCCAATCAGGAAAATTACCAATGAAAAATGGGAAATGAACAAAAACTACAACATTGATGGTGTTGTCCCATGCTGTGTGCACTTGCTGAACCTCAAACGGTCATGCAACGAAATAAAGATCAACAAAGCAAAGTTGTAACACTCCATCCAAACTCCGGTTGTTTGAAACCCTTCCCTCTTCGCGCATGAAAATGAAACATGGATCAGCAGTTTCTTCAAACTGACCTAATTAAAGTCCCATGCAGTGCCCCATTACAGGTCAAAGCGTCAAAGTGACCTCAAACCTGGGGATGAAAAAGTCCCTTCGATCAATCAAATATATATTTACAAAATGTTGGTTGAAAAATGTCACTGCTTCTTGGCTGGTGGGATTGCCTCTTGAGAGCCCAGGTGTCAGTTGAACACTGGGACAAACATGATTTTTGCGCGTGGAACCATGGAACCTTGACGAACATTTCTGCAGGAGAAACTGCTTTGCAATCAGGGATTTCAGTTTTCAAGCCACATGCGTTGCACACACTAGTGGTAGGGGAGTCCTAGAATCATTGTGTTTCCGAAAGCCATGTTTCCTGGTTGTCACACCCCCCCCGCTCAGAACCTCTCAGACGCCACTTTTCGCCCACTCGCAAGAACGGCACGTCCGAACGCAGTGGCCGCAAGAGATGGACGACGTCGGTCTTTGCTTGTGAAAACCCAGAAAATTCCAATTAGGTTTCCGTGCTAAACATACCGATGTCAGGCCCGCCCCACTGCTGAAGGTTGGTAACGGCCTCTTTCAACAAATAACAAAGCAGCTCAAAATGCTCGTGCAAGATTACCTCTGCTACCTCTGCTCCTTTTCAGTTGTGTGTGCCGTGTCCCGCCTTCGCAGCGTTGGACCCCTCTCCGTTCACAGGTGGGTCAGCCTCCTAGGGTTCTCTGGTGCGGGTTGGAATAAGATAAGAACTCACGACCACGCGCAACCGGTGCTGAAAGCGTCCCGCACTTAGTGCAAGACTGAGAGCTAACGTTCTCGACCATGCAGTCGACAAATGTTCCGTCCAATTGTCTTTCATGTCCAAGGAGCGGGTGAACTGTCATCTCGGGTCTGCACCGCATTGGTTCACCTGGAGACAAGCTGTCTGCCAGCCACGACTGTGAGTCCTCCAAAGGCACATCTCGCAAGTATCTGAGACTTGCATCACTTAAAGCCATTGCCGCGTGCAAGATTCGTACAGAGGGCTTCTTGTTTGGCTCAAAGAACACAAAGCATTTGTAAGAGGCCTCGTCTCCAAAGCATCGCTCTTCCAACGTTGTCTGCGTCACCGTGATCACCTATCCACTTCCCCGTCGATCCCTTGTGTCAAGCTATTCTCAAGCAAACAAGCATTCACCACAAGAAAACAATGTTCAAACTATGTCAAAACCTGCTGCACCTCGCGCCACAAAAGGGGGTCATCCACGAATACCTGGACCGGCCACGGTGGAACAAGGTTTGGGTTGATGGCGAGATGACCAGCGGCCCGGTTCGCACACTACACCAAAGAGCACTGCGTCTTGAAAAGCTTTGTCACGCTCGTCATTGCTGCATCCATCTGCAGCGCGTGCCCACACATAATATTCACACAAGGCAGCCTTGCTTCCAAAGAACCTGCCATCCTACTGCTGGGGATCGAAGCCTGTGCTCTTCCCCTCTTGCTAGGCCTCATCAACGTTTGACCTTCTAATCTTCTGCTGACGGCCCTGGCCTCGCGGGCACTGACTTGGCAGAGTTCAGTGCATACTGCTGGCCAGCTTGGTTTTTGCGCGAATCGCTGAAGTTCGATCGCTGCTCTGGACAAAGCCGGGTGTGTGGAATTGCAATCTTTTTGCTTCCGTCGTTCTTGTGCCCAGAACTCCGTGCAGCACCTGATATCAGCTTCTGCGGGCGGCTGGATGCCACATCTGGATGTAGTAGAGCCCTAAAGCCGGGAACCAACGTTAGCTGTGACCGACTGAACATGACTGAACAATCAAAGAGGCTGCGCCATGCCTCCTCCAACGCATCACGGTTCGCAACTCCAGGTTTCCATGGCCCAGCTCGGCCCACAAAGCCCATGGCCCTAGCCCTACATAGCGATTCTTGTCCACGCGGTCCCGAAGGAGCAAAGGGTGTCTATCCGCTCTGCACGCATCCTCGATCTGTAACATGTTAGCCTTGATCTACGACCTGACCCATCTTCAGCTTTGAGGGACGTCGTGGCCTCACCACCTGCTGGTGCTGCTGCTCGTGTTGTGCCGGCTGCCGCTGAGAACAAAGAGGTGCTACCAACTTCACGCTGATGATCTCTGATGGCTCTGAACCAAGCACCACTGTTCCTTCTCTGTTTCTGACACAGCACGTCCGCCTGGAGGATAACAGCATGATCTGGAGAGAACTCAGATTGGGCCTCCCAGTTAGCCTAGAAACCCTTGTCGCAAGCCCCTGGCCGATTACCCCCCCAAGCCGCTGCTTGTTGGAGGGTGGCCTTCACGTCCATTACACACCGGAAGAACTGGATTAAAGGGTAGCTACGAACATCAAGAGCTCACTCTCTTGCTCTCAAGAGCCGCTGACCGACCTCCGCCGAACAGAATCACCATCCTCTCGACCTCACAACGGCTAGAACAACATCCTCACCGACCGGCGACCGTCCAGAATCTATGAACATCACGCGAGCCAAACACCGCTGCGAGCTCTTTGCTCCAGCGAACGCGTCGCATCGTCATTGGCGGAGCTGCGGATACGGCATTTGGCGCGCTGAAGCTTGGAGCCAGCATGATCTCTCAAAGGTGATCTGACTTTTCTCAAACCAATCGAGCACAGATGTCGATTGGGCACAGTTGTCGACTAAAACCACAAGAAGATGTAAGACGTCTAAGATTGTACAAAAACAACTATGGGTTTCACTTGTTTCCTCCACTAAACTCAGTAAACATGTACTAACATGGCTTTGATGTCCAATGCTACATCGTTTTCACGGGTCAATCAGTTGTGATGCTCGCCTTCCCAGCTACCAACACCCCCAGAAACAATAGCGGCTCACTCTTGAACATGATTGAACATGCGAGCAAGATGAACAGTTGGCATTGGAGAACAGTAGGGTGAATTCCCAAGCCAAAGGGCTTTTAGTCCGTTCTGCTAGCCTCCAATCCTTTCCACTGGCGACACGGAAGAGGGTCCCGGCGCTCACATCCTTGTGTTGCTCAGAGCAAGGCATAAGACATCTTGCGCACCCACCTGAGAACTGACGTCCACTCAAATGGCCAGTTGGTGCGTAAAGACACGCATGGGACTCGTAAGCCTCACGCCAGTTATCACTGGAACAAAAAAAGTGTTTCAACCAAACCAAAGAGAAAAACCGCGGAGACCTTGACATGGCGTTGCCAATCAAGTTATCACTCAGATTAAAAAAATAAAGAAAGAAGCATCCGCTTTGGAGACCTTCATAGTTCCATAGATGTCCCATATATATATATATATATAGGTGGTAAGTTTGAACACAATGTCCCAAAACTTCACACGATAGTCGTCCATCACAGCGATTGTCGTTCCAAGCTTCAATGCCTCAAGAGGCACTCCCACCCAATTCAGTCATTCAACAAGCTCAGTTAGGGATGTGGGAGGTGTTGGCAGACTTTGCCCAGAAGATACATGAACAATCACCGCTTGTTGGGTCTCCAAAAACAATCTCACCCAGTGCAATCGAAAGTCAACGACAGAGTATGTAAAAAGTAACATGTCCTTTGCGGCATCTAGAGTAAATCCCTCTCATCCTCTCCCTCCAAAATGACTTTCCAACTGGGACGGATGGATCAATCTCAGCACATCGCCCAAACGGGGGGGGCCTTGGCGAGCTGATCCATGACCCGATTCCTTGAAGGATCAGATTTGGAGATTTGATGGACAAGTCTGGCTGCATCATCTGGCCTCCATGCCTTGAGCCTAGCCTAGCTCCTCCATGCCTTGAAGGGCCTAGCCTAGCTCCTCCATGCCTTGAAGGGCCTAGCCTAGCTCCTCCATGCCTTGAAGCGCCTAGCCGCAGCCTAGCCCCCTATCCTTGGGGGGCAGGGTACTGGGCAGGGTACTGAGCCACAAACATCTCCACACATACGAAGGAGGGCACCCTGGAGGAAAGCATATGAAAGCCAACATCTAACGGAACAGCTGCCGGAAACACGTCGAACAGCCGAACCTTTCCAAATCAATCTCAGCCATCAGAAAGATCTCAGAGAAGAACTCGTGAAACTTCTCCACTCTACACCCCGCGAAAACTCATTTTTTGTTTCTGCTAAAGACAGGAGGCGCTTAAGTTCCATGCATGTTCTACTTTTGTATGGGTGTCTCTCTTCTTCTCCTAGCTGATAGCTTCCAAGGTCTTGACAGAATCCAAGGAAAGCATGGTGTGTCGGGTCACTGTCGAGTTGACACACCAGATCTTGAACCCGACTTCGTACTACCATCCAGGTCCAAGGTCTTCTGACCCAGTCATCCCATAAGGGGGGAACAAAAACCAG